AGACATAGAGCTTATCAGCATTTTTTTCAAATACTGCAGCAATTTATTATCAATTTCAGCACTTGTATCCAAACACGTAACTGCATATATATTAAATCAGTTTCAGCACTTAACAGTGCTTTTCAACACCTAAAAATCAGCTAATCCAAACTGGCTCTAAATTATATTTCGCTATTTATGCTAGTAACTGGTAAAACACCGCAAAAGAGTATAGCGGCTAAAAGTAAAATATGTTTTCTTTAATGAAACATGCGACATCCATCGTTTCTATTTGTTTAAAATATTTGATTGATAGATACTCTTGATCAACTTAAAAAACTAGATCAGCTTAACTTACTTTTTAAATTAATTTTAAATCTATTGAACAAAACGTAAAAGATAATACTATGAGTTAAAAACGAATTCTATCAAAACGGTAATTTATAAAAAGTATGTTAGGGGTAATTAATATTTACTGTAATAAATAATGATGAGAAGAGCATTGGAGCAACAAAATCAAGTTGTTTCTGTGTGACCTATAGGTTACAGGTTCGGCTGTGTAATCAGGCATTAATACTGATATCACGGTAGAATGCTTACATCACACTAGGGCTGTTCAAAACGAACCGAAACCGTTAACCGAACTGAACCGATAGCTTATTGGCTTATTGGCATCGGATTATCGGGGTAATGGATGTTGAACAGATTGAGATTTTACCATTAACGGATTAACGATTTGGGAACTCATTTTTCTTATCGGGTAAACCGTTAACCCGTTAAGAATTTTTATATTTATACTTTTACTCCTATGTATGTAAAGTACTATTGATACACTGTGTTAGTTTCTAAATACCACCAACAAAAAAAGATGTTGCGTAATACTTACATGTGAAGAATGAGGTCACCAACTGTCAGTAATTTCTCTCTAAACTCATCCTTCATTGATCTTCGAGCAAGTATCGGAGCACAAGCACTAAGTGTGCACCAAAGCGCATCATTTGTGGGTCACCATGAGGTCTAAGCAAAATAAAATGTGCATTCAGCATAAATCACATCCAACATAAAGCTTAATCTCCAAGAATAACACGTACTTATGCATATTGTGGACTAGTCTATTACTAAACACATCATGTATAGATAAATCATTCATGTAATCTGAATATCAAAGGACACAAAGATTACTGTGTACCAGGAACAAAAAACAGCAAAAGTACCCTCTAGAGGCCTTCCTTATCCCTTGGACAATTGACATCAAAAAATCTAACATGATAAAGCTGATAAAAGGGTAATCAGTATGTGACGTGTTTGTAATATTTAAGAAGAGGTGGTCACGCACTCAACACAATGCTAACATAGGGAGAAGTCTCAGTTTTGAATCTTACTACCACCCATTTACGCATGGAACTTCCACATGTTAGACTTAAGGAAAAGAATGAGACCCATACGGAAAGAGGCGTGTCAGGAAGTACTTAAATAAATGTGTCCCAAT